ATACTAAGAAAGAATGAGCCTATAACAGGATAAGCTTAGGTCTGCACATGGCACCAGTTGCACTGCCTTCTCCACAGGCTTTTCCAAAGCATACTCGGGAGCAAGGAACAGGCGAGAAGCGTAACAGCGGGAGACAAGCAAGAAGCGCAAGAGGGGGATGATAGGAACGAGCGCAGAGCGCGAACTTGGAGTGATGTTCTCGCCAGTGATGTCCTTTTCAGTTTTAATCAATATGCGTTTTATGATATGATCGACAGTCAATGGTTTTACAGTATAATTGCAGTTGATACCTCGTTAACACGGACACCAAATGTAATAGAACCGAGTGTGGGGATTGTATGAACTTAGTCACGTACTTGAGGGACCAGGTACTAAACTGTCCTTAATAGACAGATGTCCGTATATCGAGGTCTATGTAAGACTCGTTCTCGACCTTACACTTTTTCAGTCATGCGGAGATCTAGAACAGCTCTGGGGTCGAGATTGAACTTAAACTGTCAAACCGTCTAGCTACCATCTTAGGAAAGAAAGTTGTAATAAACCTAAGATTAATACTATGCGTTTTAAAAACTCTTTTATTAACCGTTAAGTTTTTAAATATGATTCAGCTATGTAATGTACTATATTTTAAATCTTACTTTTCACCTTTTTATAGTTTTTACTAGATTCACAATTTCTTAATCAAATACACTCGTGACAAAAGATATGTATTTTCATCTTTTGACGAATAAAGATTTAATTATTATTAATAATATTATTATTATTACCGCGGGTCTATCATTTTACGACTTTGAGCCAGCCAAGAAATTAACAACAAAAGTAATATTTATTGAAATCAATAAGTTCACAACTCCTTTAATGTTGCAGCTTGAACATACTGACTGACAAGACATAAAATTAGCAGTCTTTATTGACTTTTCATTGAGTGAATATGACGACTTAATCAACAGTCTGTCACTAAACTGTCATTCAAATTCATGGTCACCTGCAAACTGACAATGCGTCAACTGACATATTTCACCAAAAAAAGACTCCGTTTTTCCCTCAGCCTTGTTAGCTGTCGTCATTATTCGGATCCTCTGTAGAAATAGCTGGCAGGAAAACATTTATTGTTCGCTTCTTTTGCCGATTCTTCTCTGAAATAATAAAAGGATCGTCGATTTCACGTCCTATTTTAAATCTCTTGCTATTTTCTTTGTCCTTTTCCGTGAAAACTCCCTTTTCAGCTCTACTAGATTTAATCTCAAGCTTGTTTTTATTTAAGTTGTCTTGTTTCCAGGGCAATATCCGACTGCAGACAAACGCAGAATCTTCCTTTCTTCCAGTTAGGAAATCATTAGGTAGTTTGCCTTTTCGTAATGGCGGTAAACTAAAGTCAAGTTTATTTTTTCTGGTTTCGACGTCCACTGATAACAAATCCAAGCGTTCATTGCGCAAATTTTCTCGTGCTTTTAGCAGGACCGTCTTAGTCCCTGTGATGCGCAGATCTTTTAATTTACTTTCTGACGAAAAGGGGAACGATCGTCTTTGAAGGATGCTTCTTTGAAGAACGGACAACGCATCTTTACTAAAATACCTTCGGCTAATCTCTCTTTCCCTTTCGGCAAAAATCCTTTTCCCTTGTAACGTCATTTTGACGTTATTGTCTCGTGAATAAGCATAAAATCGGGTTTCCTTGTTTAAGCGGAACAGGAACCCTCCTGGACTGGCCAAGGATAAATTTCTTCGCTGTTCAAGTTTCTTGACAAAACGGTTCCCATTCGTATCCACGGTTCGGATTTCTCGATGATGTAGCATAACGTTTATTCCACTGATACAAGTTCTGTCACTTTCATAAAAGCATAGGGAATAAGCGAGAAGCCGAGTAAGGTTCGAGTTATAAAATGGCAAGGAAATTTGCCAATCAAATCAACTGAAAAACTTGCCGTGAAACTTGCGGAAATATTTGCCGTCAAATCTCTTACAATGGTTACCGTGTTAGATTTTTGTAAACTTGAGTATCCGGCCACGTGGGTCTCAATAAAGAAAATGTCTGAAGTGAACTCTTAGCAACCTTTAAAAGAGCATAACATAGCCTTTTGCGCAGAACGAAACACACAGCACGTGTTTACTGCAAAGTCTATAAACAGATGTTTCTTAGAGAGATTGACAGCGGAGGCCAATACAAATAAGTTGATTCCTGCGATTGGCGAAGATAAAGAAAGTTATTGTTAAATAGATAGAAACTAGGAATATAAATGAGGTAATATTGAAAGGCGACATAACATTTAGAATCTTGACACAATATTAGTTTCTACAAAAGCGATGTTACGATCTTTAATCCGTGAATGCAATCTTTTCCCTACTGCTTCGCCTCTTTAGCACAGGTAAAACTCAGGCTAAGAATTAAAAGATAACTCGGCTTTAGTTCTTCCTCTCGTTTTCTTTCTCTAGCGGTCCAGTTTAATAAAGAACTCAAGGGTGACGAAAATTGTACACCTTAGTTAATAGAACTTAATACTAGATTAAAAACGTTGTTTCCTCTTTTAAAAGATAAGAGTGAAGACTACAGAATTTAGAGAGTGACTGTAACAAAACAGGTGACAACCTCTGGTGTTCCCAAGGTCTTCTCCTCCAGGGGACAGAAAGAAGAGAGACACTGGGAACGAAGTTGAACAGGTATAAATATTTGTATAGGATTAACACAAATGATAATCCGGGTTATTTTTCATTTATTGGATTCGGCTTTCGTATGATATGAAGAATTATTCACACCCAGGAGGGTGTCATCCACTGTGGGCCTCGTCAACTAATGTCCTCATGAAACTGTATATTTCCTCAGATCATAGGAAAGCCTAATTTATAGTTTGTTCCCGTCATCATTTACCTATTCCTCGAAATGTCTAGTCTATCAACCATTCAAAAAATGGCAGATGTCATCTGTCGAGTTGTATTTTTGCTGTTTGTAGGCAGGACGTTGGCTGTTTCTTCTTCACAAAACGCCATTTTCTACAAAAAAACGCAACCTCTTGCCGACCCTTTCTCCGGCGTTTATCTTGTAGTACTGACGCTACTTTATCGGATATCGCAAACGTCTTTTAAAGTTGGTCAACGGTAGCTGGTTATTATGAAGAATTTATAGCCGGAGCCGGGGGATTTAAGCCAATCAGAAACAGGGAAATTTTTTAAAGAATAATAATCACCGTTTACGTCACAAAAGAATCTTTCAAGGATTCACGCATTTTTAATGAAGCAATTGTTAAGTCAGTTCTAGACTGAATACACTCTTGATATTCCTATTTAACTAACGGGCCATTTCCGAGTTCCAAAAACCCTCTCTTTCGAAATGAGGCTAAGTGTGAAACCTTTCTAGTGATATAAAAATTAGTTTCATTTGCATGAGAATAAAAAAATAATTATCATATCTATGGCTTCGCACTTAGCCTCGCTTTGAAAAAGAAGCTTGGAGATATAACCTTTACATATAAGACAAAATTATATTGAAGCAAAATAGCATTTTCAAAACCTGTGTCTAACGCATTGATACAAACACTGTAAAATATTTTTTCTAAAGAAGAACGGCTATAAAAAAATCTATGAATTAATCATTTTTCCAGTTACATGTACACATGTACTCGTTAACTTTTTATAGCTTAGGGGCGTAGCTACCTGTACGCCGATACGCATGTGCGTACCAGCTGGAAAAAAATGTCCAAATTAAATAGAAGCAAAACGAAATAGAAAAACAAATCAAAAGTAAAGAGAACATGAAAAAGAGTTAACGTAAAAATGTTGAATTGCCCCTTATTCTGTCAGGTAATTTTTCAAAGGAAAATGCAGTGTTTTCGCCGATTTTACCACACGCGAAAGGCGAAACTGCTACGTGAAACTTGGGCAGATGATCACCTCACATACCGACAGGGTTAATCACAGAAAGTCACTCGCATGGAAACAATTAGGGAAACGGGGTGGGGTTGATTTGGAAAACTGTCAGTACCTCTGGAAGAAACCTAGCCACGCCCCTGATCATCAATTCAGATTACTAGCAGAGGGCCATAAATCAAAAATGAAGTAAAAAAATGAAAATTTAAAACATACGTTTTGTACCCTGGGTGCCAGAGACTTCCATCCAGGATTTCTGGTTTCGGTTAAGTTTTAATAGTAAACCGCGCAATACTTTAAGTACCAGAGGGTTTTTTCTCCTCCTCTCGTGGCATCGGACATCCGCCGATCTGTCGGACTGCGTCCCAAATTGTAAAAATCACTGGTTTTGCAACAACCCTTTAAAATTATAGCTGTTGTGCTTCGCATACTATGATTATCAGATGTAAAACTGAAATACTAGAGAGATTAAGAGTCACGTTAACGGCAAACAGCTAACGTCGGATTCAAGTTGAGAATTTCTCAAAATAGAAAATAAGCAGAAAAAAGCTGTCCAGAACAATTCTTGTGGATAAAACTGGCGTGAAACTACTTGTTTTTGAGCAGAAGTAATAAACGGTAAAGGACAATTATGGGGAAACTTGGTCACGTGGTACAGATTCACGTTTGTTGTTTGGCGTAAAAGTGAATCTTATTAATCTCTCTAATACATGCGTATCGAGGTTAATTTACACTTAGGTATTTGAGAAAACAAGATAAATGTTTTTAATTTGCACTCTCCTTCCGAGGTCACTACGCTCTCTCTGCTCCATGTCAAAGTCAACAAAGCCCTGACGTATTGTGATCTTTTCTCTTACACTTCATTTGAATCTATAGTTAATTTCTGATATAGTAGAAGCTCTTCTTTCACCTCTCAGGACTATCATTATTTGCTTATCTAGAGAAGAATGTAGCCAGCTGTTTGCTTGAAAAAAGGTCTTCGAGTTCAATCGAGTAATGTTGACCAACCTCTGCAGTCTGCGTGGAAGACGAAAAAAGGGGAGGGGGAGGGGAGGGGAAAATTGCAATTTAAGGGGTAAGGAAAGGGACGTCCCTTTCCTTCTCTCCCCATACCCCTCTCCCTTTCCCTTCCCTCTCCCTCTCGTTTCGACGCCTGCCAGGCAGGCCAAACTCTATGTATCCCATAGGTTAAAAATATTTGTAACTTGTACTTTAACTGTGTTACTTCCACCTCATAGTAGGTCTGCAAAGACGGGCATCCTAGACTCTATCATCAAATCGTACAGTGCACCCACATTGAGGTATCGCTGTTGAGAAATAAACGCAATAGCGGCCTCACACGGGTTCTGTATCCGGGTATCCAGGTAACGAATCTCATGTGGCGCCAAGCCCAATTTCTCAGCAAGCGGCTTCCACTCTTCTCCTCCTACAAAAACGAATATCATATTTCACTTTTACAGTCAAGCCAGGTCACGCGTACCCTAGACTACGAGTAGTCCCCCATTTTTCCTCAGGGATAGTAGACATAGTAGAGCGAGCGAAACGCGAGCGCGCGTGAAAATCACCCCATGCGAGAAAAGGCGACACGCGGCGGGGAGAGAGGAAAATCCCCGCAGCGTGTAGCCTTTTCCCGCGTGGGGTGATTTTCGCGCGCGATCGCGTTTCGCTCGCTCTACTATCCCTGAGGAAAATGGGGGAGTACTCGTAGTCTACGCGTACCCCTCAACATTCCATTAATGAGTTAATTATTCGAAAGTTGAATCCGTTGGTAGTTGTAGATTTCAGATTCATCTCTGTGTACATTCTTGCATGCGTAATAAGCCGTGAATTCTCACGCGATTCAGTTACGAAATTTCTACCAGCTCAGTTTCCCTGAATTTTATGTAAATTTCTTCTATGTAATTTAATCTATTCAAAGACGTTCAATCTGACCAAATACAGGGCAGTTCTCGTAAAATATTCACTGCTCATTACGCATGGAGGAATGCCGATTTAAATTTCACGCTAATTACGGGAAAAGAGCGCCCTGGGGACGAGGTTGACGGGAACGACTGAGGGATTCATTTTTCAAATATTTATTTTATTAATAGAATCTTGGGGGGGTACGCTTGACCTGCCTTGACTGTAAAGAATACGATTAGGGGCCGACCATTTAACTCTTGAGGGGGGGGTGATTTTGAAAAAAAATTTCCTGCAAGCGCTTGTCGGAAGAAAAAATTGCATGCAGCACAAATATAATAGAAAGCTTATGGGAAAAAAAGGGAAAAAAATATCCTGCCCACCAGATTGCTAGAAAAAAAAAATTCTTGATGACCAGAAATCACCCACCCCTCACCTCAAGAGTTAAATGGTCGGCCCCTTATGTGCGTTCATTTTTTCCCGCCAAAGTTATTGACGGCAGTTTTTTTTATCTGTCTCCTTATTGAAGATAAAAAAATGACGTCTTAACATTGTCAAAGTGTTGTGGATATAGTTGTGAAAGGTGTAATGTCGTAGAAATACCCTCGGTATTACGTGAGACTTGTTAGGCTACTAGTAAGAATATACTGCTAATGATCCGAGAAACGTCCAAGATGCAATTTAAAGTGGGATTTAAAAGATAGCGTACTATAGTACATTCATTCACAGAGTTCGCATGAGTTATAACGAAAAAGATTTCTCTGTGACCAATCTGAGCTGTCTTATAATTAAAACATGGGAATTGCTGATGAACCTGTCTCTACATAAATGACACTCACCGCTTAAATGAACTGTAAGACGCTGCATCTGAGAAGTTGGTACATTTCTAACATCAAGACACTCGGGCAACAAAGGACCTACAGGAAAGAGAGCGAGGTCAAAAAGAGCAACAAATAGGTGCAGGGCTGAAAGAAATTAACAAAATGGATCTAAAAGGAAGAAAGAACTTGATAGAGGAATTCATTTTAGCTAGAGACAAAAACTGAGTGAAAAACACCTTTCGTACATTGTCTAGGGAGATTTTTTTTTCTTGAAAATTTTAGCCCGCCTTGTTTAGAAGATTGATTATTTGAACACAACGCCAAGAAAGGATCGAAAACACAGTGAAGCTATTACTGATTTGAGCAGCTGCTCTGAACTACAGTATATACCGCCGATAGTGCAAACGCATCGGTCAAGAATGCACGGAGAGTAAAATTTTCGGACTCTGCTATCGTTCGTACGGAAATGTTTTAGAAAATTTTTCGTGTGTGGGATCTATTCCTTATCTAGCCTGAGTATCAGACCTTCCTAAGGGGCTAGGGGAGAGGAGATTTTCTCTCCCTTTTTCGCTTCCATCTTTCCCCTTTTCCCCAGAAACGCCTGATACTCAGGCTATTCCTTATCCCGCAAGCTTCATCATCGCCTCTTTTGATCCTGACCTGTGCGTTGCTCATGAACAATATTTTGTTCAGCACGTAGAGGGATCAGGGAGCTATTGGGCTGGTGGGCTATAGCCAAACCAATAATTTTGCCGCTTTTAATTTTTTAGCATTTGCAAAAGTACTTCTAATCTTAAACACATTTTACTGCTAAATATACGTTTTTGTGCAGAAAACGTACAGAATGGTGATAAAAATTTTACAAATTTTCTCAGGATTGATAGAAATAAACGCATTTCCGGTGATTTCAGAAACTCTACATTTCAATAATTTCCGGAGAAGCATACCTGGACTCCCCTAGATAAGCTCGCGCCTTCCGCACTCGCTGAACTCGCACTATGTGCGAGCTTTCCCTACCAATCCAAAATATTCTCTGCGTCCGTACTTACATTAACTTACATAAACCCCCGCAATAAACTTTATACCTGTAGTTCCAGCTGGTGTAACCTCTCTCAATTCTCTGACCACGTCAGGTCTGTTGGACTGTTTTGCTTTATTTGCAAGGCAACGAATCAATCGTTTGGTCTCAGGGTCTGGATTCTCTAAGGAGACTTCATCCAGTTTCAAACAGTCTTTCAGTTGAAGTACTACCTCCCTGGAGTCACACGACTGCGACATGAGTGTTTCTATAGCCTTGCTTGGAAGTACAAGCAATTTTTCATCAATTCCTGCGAAAGGCAATGATTTTTTACAACTTCATGTTCGACTTTCAGCAATCAGACTTGGAAGAAAAAGCACAGGCGCTTTGTAGCGCTATCCTCGGCAAGGACAGAGTGGTTTGTTTGGGGAACTCTAGTCATTTCGAAGGCTGCCAAGTTTGCAGTATAAAGATAACTACCAGGGGATGCTAGAAGTGGATTAAGATGTCTCCAAGAGACGAATATTTTTGTCGGAATGGTTTTAATTACACACAATAACTTAGTTCACTCGTTTACATTATCCATCTACGCTATTAGTGTGGCAGTCTTACCTCCTCCAGAAGCTGAAGGTCTTGGCTCACTTTCTTCAGCTATAGCCTGTAACAAAGAAGGAAGAAATGATTAAACAAGGTTGATTTTAAGTGCTCTGTACGCTATCTTATGGAACGAAGTTGCCTTATGGGCGGGCGGGGGGGGGGGGGGGGGAGGGGGTGGTAGTGTACTGAAAGTTACCTAGCTTCAAAGGGGCTATTTCTGCTTTACATGTGATGTTTTGACGACTTTCTCTAAACATCACTTGTAAAGAAACACGAGCCAGTGATTTCCTGCGGTCTTAACCAACAGACCATTGAGAAAACGCTAAATACCGGTAAATCTGTATTAAGCGTACACCCACGGGACCATCGCTAGTATGGTAGATCGAGATGTCCCCTAAAACCAGGTTGGTTTTACAGGTTATAAAAAGAGAAAATGAGTAGGAATCAATCACGATCGTGTTCGCTTAATATGGGGACCACTTAATACCGGTTTCACTCTTTCTAATAGGTTTGTTGCCATCGTTCTCGTGAGAAAATACTGAGGTTTAAGAAAACGAGAGGGTTTGATTGGAGTGTCTGGGATAGCCAAAGAATGGCACTAAAGGAATAGATAAAAATAGTCGGGATTGGTAGTAAATGTTTTAAAGTAATTTACAACAAAAGTTGGAGTCTATTCACCTGTTCATCTGAAGTTTGAAACCAAGGTGCAAACCGTTCGACGTGAACTTTGTTAATTTCTGCAGTAGGACACCTGCGACACCTGATGAAGTCTTTGGCCTTGCGCAAATCATACTCAGATATGAAGTGCAGACATTCCTCCTGCTCACACCACCACTGCTTGTGATGTTTGCAGCAGTAATTAGCTTTGCTTTCTTGGCAACAAACGGGGCAGATCACACCTACTTTATATTTCATGTTCTTAAACCAAAAGAATTCTTCTCGCATGCACTCAAGCATCAACACCAGTTGTCTTCGTACAGCACGAGCACAGGCCTCTTCAAATCCATCATAGTTGGGAACTGCAGACAGGTTCAGCTTGGATTGTAAACATGCTGTCAGGTTTGTACTGGCATTTCCTCTGTGAACCACAACTTCAATACACGATGAATGGCATCGAAGAATTACAGAGCAGTCGTCATCTGCAGAGGTGTAAAACCGCGCAAAATTAGCGTACAACTGAGGATTTTCTGCCCTCCAAAATTCGTCTTGGCCCCACTGAAAAAACTGCAACACAAGTCGGGGAAAAAAGCCTGGAGGAACCTGCCCAGATTCGAACCTAATATAAAAGGGTGGAATTTGTGCAGAGGCTACCAACTTGATAATATCCCTTGGTGGATGAGACATTAGCATGGAGGGCACGAGATACTGCTTGCCACATGAAGCATCTGATGATGGCCAAGGACAAAGCAAGCTGAATTTCTCCATGATTTCTAGAAGGTTCGGAAACATTTCCTTTGGAATTGATAAAGGATCCCACACAAATTCCAAAAGTTTATACTCTATGATGCCCTCTGTCTGCAGCTTACTCCACAATTCTATCTCTTTTCCTTCATAGGGACCGGGCTTTACGGTTATCACCGACGTAAACAAGTCGACCAGCCACTGAGGATCCAAGATGACCATATTATTCAAAAGTGGAGAACTGTCGAAATGAATCAAGATTCTCTGGTCATGTAGAAAGTTCAGCAGTGTTGTAAATTCCCGATCATCCTCAATGTGACACATTTTGGACGCAATCTGTTTTGTATATTCCAGAGAAATCCACTTTTTCCCATCTTTTACTTTGGTTTGAAGAGCCTTTTCGAATCTCAGCCACTTTATCGGGTAGTCTTCTTTCATCTGTGGCAGCTCCTTAGCAACAGCAAGGACTTTTTCCCACAAGCGCTTGACTTCTGAACACTCTGATTTACTCCCTGACTTTGTGTTATCCACGACAAAAACGTCTTTATACAATTGGTTTTTGTAAGGCTTGGTCTCCAAGGAACCAAATACTTCACGAGCCAACACAAATGGATCTGCCCCACCACAAGGTTCATCAGCATGAGTGCAAACAAGGAACACAGGGGGAATATTCATTGGTGATTGATCCAAACGTATCTGCTGGTTTTCATCTTGATTGGTTATTGAGGCAACCCATGTCATCCAGAAATCCAGATAGTCTAGGTTACTTTTACAATCGTGGTTGTCTAAAATCATGCTGTACATTCCTTGCTTTACGGTGGGATCGGCTCTTGCATGAAGACCTCGGCTGAGGTCAAAAACTAACAGGTACACTGCTCTTTGTGTGAGGAAAAGTGGATGCGTGGCATAGTAGACGGGTTGTCCAGCAAAATCCCAAACAATTGAATACATTTCCGCATCATCTCCAACTCTCTCTTTCTCAACTTCCTCAAGTAAGTTTTTTATCTTCTCTGCTACCTCATCTGGTATCTTGACTAAGCAGTTTTTTTCTTCTTGGCCAGCTGCAAAATCTGCACCAGATTCTTGAACAGATTCTCTTGCATTTTTTGGTGCCACATTTGTTAATGCAACTTTTGCCTCATTTGATGGCAAGTCATCCTTTGAATTATTTTTTCTGTAATGAGTTAAAACTTCAACGACTAAACGAGCTATGTGGTGCTCAAAAGAGAGGGCTTCTCTGAAATTATTCTGTGCCTGATTGTCCATTGTATTCTCACTTGGCATGCAAATATCTGTTGTAACACTGAAATGTGATGGTCCAACATCTATCCCCACTGTGCTGTCCTCGTCAGGGTTGAAGGGCTTTCCCATCATCGAATTCTTAAGGCTGGTTTTTCCGGAGCGATCTTGTCCGATCACCATGATCGGCAACCTCTTGACACGAGCTTTTCCTTCATTAAGAGCCTTGTTATAGGCTTCCACAGCCAAGGGACCACGTAAATTAATCTCTTCAGGAACGACTGTGTACGCTAGAAACATAAAGTGAAATGATAGTTCAGATTTGTATATCTATTTGCCCACTTACTTTTTTTGTTCGGTCAGTGTGACGAAATTTTCACAGAGGGGATAGGTATACCCCCAGGAACACAGTTGATAGAAATTAGCACGGCATTGACAAAAATCAAAACTGACACGCTATTCTATTGGAGGAGGGTGAAAAGGCGGTATGAGTCGAAGGAGAGAATCGGCCAGCAAATTTCCGAATTACAGAATAGCATAGAATGAACAATGATTCTTTTTTACAGATTTAGAGGGTTTTCAAAACATTTCGCCCTCTAGTAAACTAAAGTCAAGTTGCAATTCGATGAGGATCCCAAGGATCAAGTTTGGGAGAACATCCCACTTTTTTCCCTCTTGGATTGACTCTAAATAGAACTACTAAGAACTAGGCGGTTAAATGCTATGGCGGAATTTTCTAAATTTAGGTTTTACCAAGCATGCAAACACTTCAGTTTGGAAAATTACTCCTTCCACTTTGCGTCCAAGTTCAACTGTTCTTTCTTCACACACTTGCGTCCGGCCGCTCATAAAAATTAACCTCATAAAGCTATTTTAACCAGGTTACATTTGGAAGAATTTTGAGTTGGGTTATTAAAAGTTAACCCGGTTAGTGTCTTTTTGTTATAGTTTCCGGTATTCCCTCGCCAGGGACCGATATAGTGGCTGATAACGTAACATGGAGCAAATCTTACCTTCAGCCAGCTGTTTATACTGATCATCAAGATTTATCATATTGCCAGCAAACCCTAAATTGTCCAACATAAAACAATGACATTTTCTTTTAAGTTTTGAAAAAGAAACGTTATTATATATTTCAAACAAGTAAAAAGGATACGAAAACGTCTGCAATTAAGCAATAGAAAACGTTTTCCGTGCTTGCATAGCCTGATATAAACACGAGAGGGGTTGGGAGAATTCGAGACAGTTATACAAACCCAAGACGAAGTCGAGGGTTTGCATAACCGTCGAGAATTCTCCCAACGCCTCGAGTGTTTATATCAGGCTATGCAAACACATGAAAAAAGTTTTCTATTGCTTTTATAAAATAACTTTCCCGAGAAAAAAACGCAAAACTCTTTGTTATGGCACTGATTAAAAGAGAAATTGTTACCAGTCGCAAATCTTGTCCACGAAGTCTTGCACGCGTAATCAGTTCTTGTTTTGCAAAAAGATGCTTTGCAAAATACGGATTTTTCTCGCTTAAAATGTCAGCTTAAGCGAAGAAAAATGGACTCACCTTCTTTGTAACGATTTTCCATGTTTCAGCCGAAGAAGGAATGGGTAAATAAAGTAAACTTGTCGAGTTTTGAACTCTAAAACTTTTTCAAATTTGTGCTTGCCTGATTAGCGCGTGAAAAGCCAAACAACTTGACGCCACAACCATGTTTACATAGTCTCATGCAAACACTACTCTCGGCCAATCAGAGCGCGCGTACTATCTTAGTTATTTTATAAAAACTGATATCTAATCACCACTCCGGATACCTGCTAGAGTTTCAAGAATAAGCGGTCGCTCGAACTCATTTACTTAACAATGATCGAACATCTTTGATTCTAAAAGGATCTACTAAGAGCTAGCGTGGTTCAATGCTATGGAGGAATTTTCTAAATTTAGGCTTTAACATGCATGCAACTGCAATCGGCGACAAAATGAGTTGAGACACTTCGCCCAAAACTGGGCTTTTTTACGTTTTCTTAACTTCAAAACGAGAAAATATAGCTTTCCTCCCCCACGCCCTCCGTGCAATGTTGTGCCCTTGTTCTAGCTACCTATAGAAAACAACAAATACCCCAACTTTGAATGGAGGGGACAGGGGAGGGGTGCGGATTCTTTTGTTCTCCGAAGTTATCCTATTTAAGTACAATGTCTCAACAATTTTGTCGCCGATTGAGGGCACTTCAGTTTTCACCTTACGTCCAAGTTCAACTTTTCTTTTTCCACACACTTGAGTCCGGCCGCTCAAAACAATTCATCCCGCTAAGCGATTTTAACCAGGTTACATTTTTAATTGGGTTATTAAAAATTAACCTGGTTAACTTGCCAATGAGCAGCCGCACCCGTGAAAAGATGCTGACTTGATATGTCATAAAACTACTACCATTAAGGGAATTCTTTCTGAAGATGATTAGTGGGGTGTCCCACCAGAATATAAACGATGTTACGCTTTGTGTCGCCTGATCATACTATTGGGTTAAGAGATTACTATAAAAAAAGCTTCATGGCATGGTTAAATGAGTAGTCAAGGTCATATTTTTGTTTGTGCAAAATCCTTGCACTGCTCTTATACGAAAAACAAACCCTCAACTACCAGCTTAATTTCTCTGAGTGATAAGGTTTGGAGGGATAAGGTTTGGAGTGAACTTTAGGGAGGTATTTTGTAAGATTCGTTTGGTGATAATTTAAAATGGCATTAGCCAGTGGGGACATGACACAGAACTTTGCGCTTTTGCATGATCAGGCGCTGATCAACGTTATTGTAGTTCGGTATGAGTAGGTCGCTCTGGTAGCCAAGCGCAATAAAGGACCTATCTGTATTAGCATTTCGAACCCAAGCGTAATTAAGGTCCCATCTGCAAAAACATTTGGTCCCAGCTGAGATAATATGAGACATGTCCACAACAGTCTATACATGGTTATCTTAACTAACAAGGCTGACATTACAGGTCACGTGACCAAACAGAACGAGAAAAAATGAACAGGAAAAAATACCACAGTGACAGGATATAGCAATGACTATCAGTTTAAGCTTTTGCAAATTTATAACCGGCTATGAAACGTGCTTTTAAAAAAAAATTCATCACTCCAGAAGAAATAGATATGTCATTCGCGTTGTCCTATATAAAATGTCAGACTAGACAATCTTCAACCCCGTGGAATCTGTTATTATTTATTCCCCTCTGTCTTCTCATTTGCCATTTTCAGTATTTCACTCACAGCTGAATTTTATTAACAGGATTTCATGACTGTCAGTACTTGTACTGAAAAGGAGTAACTATAATTTAAAATGGTTCCTTACACATTAGTGAAATCTAATAAGGCATATGCTGTTGATACTTCCTTAAATCGACGATTGAACGAATAAAGATGAAACAAGAATTTTAACATCACAACAACAAAAATCACTCTCGTAAGAGTGCAGTAAGTGCAAAATACAGTTTGACAGTGACGTGAAAGCCATGAAGATAAAATTACATGGGAGGGGTTGCTTTCTGCAGGTCACGTGATATTACACTTTTTACCTCTCATTGACCATAATTTTTTGCTGGTATATTACCACCTATTTGAGTATAAAGGTAACTTTTTCAATTATGGCCTTTATTACACTTGGCTCCAAATGCTATTACAGATAGGACCTTCATTATGCTTGGGTTCAAAATGTTACGAATGGGACTTTTACAATGCTTAGGTCCAAATGTTATTGCAGTTGGGACCTTAATTACAATTGGGTCCAGTTCTTACACCGTGCCTTCTACAGCTGCAGGGTTTTGTCTCAGTCTGTCTAGCTGAAACAGTACTTTTATTAATAGACCAGAAAAGGGTAGAACTACTGGGCTGTTACCCACCCCATTATGCTACTCAGAGATTTTTCAAAAAAGGGCAGACTGATTGATCATTAACTTTTTAGTACTGAAATGTATGTCCCACTAATATTCAAGGCCACTAATATTCAAAGGGTTTAGTTTCTGTTCCTCCATCCTAGTCTAATAGCATAATAAAAAAAAATCTTACCTCCTGTCATTTGCCTGACAAATGACGACATTAAGGCTCCTGTTAGAAGATAACAGACAGAAATATATAAGTAATGTTCAAATGTAATTTTGTTAGTCCGAGATAGACAAAATCTTACCTGCTCCACCCATGATCATGGTGGCTAAGGATGACACCATCCTTTGCAGTTGCCATTTTCTCAGTTCATACACTGGATCTACATCAGAATCATCATCAGACAACAGTCAGAAATAAATACGTAATGCAATGTAACGTCACATAATATGCAAGGGGACAAAAGTGTGTCCTCTGTATATTTCATGTTAGCAGTAAGCTCGCACGTCAGCATGCAAGGGCACCACTGTCTGCCACTAAGGGTGTGATTGTGAGGTAAGTGTGTGTAATGTGTGACCGTAGAAGTGATAACAGACGTAGAGGGAGACCATACCATCGGGGAAACCTTCCCACTCTTTTCGCGGAATAGAAGTGTGTGTGTGGGTGTGTGTTTTTTTTTTACAAAAAGTCTCCTTCCCCGAGTTCAATGTGGTGGAAAGGATGAAGGAGACAAGGCAAATGGCTTACCCTCACCACTTAATGACATGATCATCTGAACTGAGACATGAACTTGACACAGCCAACATTATTACCAGTTTTTTAAAGAATCTGGTTGTTGGTACAACCAATCTTTGAAACTGTGAAGTCATAATCACTTTCACTGATCTCCTCCCTTGCAGACCTTTTTGTTTAAACTTATTCCCGGCATACTTCCTGGATCTGCAAGCCCAAGGGTATGCATTCCACTCTTTCTGTGTTGGAGGCATCTCATTTAACCTTCAAGCAGGTATGGTTAGACATTATTGAGATTCTCGGTGACTGACTTTCGGATTTGATAGTGTATGCTCCTTTGATAATAATAATAATAATAATAATAATAATAATAATGATAATAATAATAATGATGATGATAATCAACTTTATTTAACAAGGGTAACACGGGGCAGTACTCTTTACAGTCCTTCATCTTATGGTTCCCACTATCCGACTTAAATTATTTATTATAATCTATTTGCTTAAGCTATTATTTCAAATCAATTTGATAGATACTTCATTCTACATTTCGATTTGGAGTCAGTGTAATTTGGTCATTATAATAACCTATGTTCTCGTATTAACCTAATTTTACAGTAGGCTGTCAATAAAGCCTGTCTCAGTCCCAACCCAGTTGTGCTGTTTTTTTTTTTTTGACTTGGTTGCGTGGTTTATAGGTTCTGTTCTGATTATGTTGTCTAAATCATAAACCAGGGATTTGGGGCCATCATGTAAAACTACTCAAGTTGAGTAATCAGTTAATTCATTGTATTATGTCCACATATTAAAGTAGGTACCTTGAGCATAGCAACTAGTACAGCTCCCTTTCCTCCCCAACCCACCCATGTATATCAGGTATGTTAGCGTCTTTTTCTTAGGGCCTGTTTACATTGAGGTGGGGGACCCCAGGTAGGTGAGGTAACCCCCTTAGGTGGGGTAACCTGTCTGTCCATATAATCTCTCATTTTAATGTAATCATGTTTACATGTTAGGTGGGGTAACCCCCCACATGTTACCTCACCTACCTGGGGCCCCCCATCTTCATGTAAACAGGCCCTTGTAGTTTTTGGTCTCCCCTCCTGGGACCGATACATAGTGCCTGATAACATAATATGCAAATTTTACCTGTATAATGTTCATCTATTCTCTCGCCAGCAAGCACCATTCTGTCTAAAGCATAAAACAATGACAAATTCAAGTTAGTTTTAAAAAATAAAGTTATCATATATTTCAAACAAAGAAAAAGGCTACGAAAACATCTGTAAAAACGGATATCTAAATCAACACTACAAATACCTGCGAGGTCATTAAGACGTTGTTGCTCCAACTCATTTACTTTTTCAAGGAGATCACATTTCTCCGTCTGGATTAAAATCTGCTTTAAGATTTTATAACAGTCGATTCCAAGAGAGCCGTTGCGATTTAGCTCCCTAAACAATGACCTAACATCGTGAATGCTAGCTCGCCCTCCTTCTGTTATATTTCCTCTGCAAATCGAGATGAGTCGTTCCAGATCATTAAGCTCGTCGAGTACTCGTATGATCTGCTCAAGCAAGTTGTTGTATTTCTCTCTTGCTCTTTTGCACGCGAAAATTTCAACCTCTTGTAGACAATCCCATTCCTTGACGTCTTTTAACATTTGCTTTAATAGGAAAAGTCGATCGGGACTCAGAAATCCTTTCCCCTCTAATTCTACAAACAATGAAAAGGTAGGGATGTTTTCTTCGCCAGGGCGAGCCGCCAACTTTCCTCTGCATATCACAACTAATTGCTTGCCAGCATTTATGTTGTCTAGTCTTTGGCTTATTCGGACCAGTAAATTCTTGTATTCGAACTCAGACATTTTAAAACTACGACTCGACACAGTTGTCGAGCAGAGTTGTCAAAGTAGACACAATCTCGGGTATATACTTCATGGTGGAAAGCCACAAGTGCACCAGTAATATACACTCTGTGTAATATGTATTAGTATATACACACTCAGTGATCTTGGCGATTTAAGCAATCTGATTGGTTCGCTATCTCGGACTATTCAACAATATTCACCTCCGAGCGAGTGGATAATGTGTGAGCTCGGTGTTTTTCCCGTTTTTTTTAGAGAACGATCTTTTAAAAGTCGACAAAATCCTAGGGCTGACTTTTTTTAAGGCAAGAAAAGACTTGGAAGGATTCAATACGGCGTTTTTCAATTTACTGTAGCAGGAGTTTTGTGCTCGATGGATTGTTTACAACTCCCGTGTATTCGCGTAGAAGAAGCCGTTTCGTGAACTCAGCGTTTTCTAAGAAGAAAATTTTGGCTCAAAAATCGAAGTTTATTTATGACAAACAAATTTAAAAGGAAATGTTTGCAGAAATTCTACATTTCAAGTAAACAGGAAAAAGAATGATACAGGAAGACGACCTCTTACCTCGAGCAACCGAGCCGCCATTTTTGTCAGCACTTCATGCGAAGAACGACACAACATGCCCTTTTGGCTATAAACTTGGCGAGTCAACAGAAAACAACACAGCTCTACTTTTTTTCTCAGGTAAGGAAACAGTTCAAACTTTTAGCGATTCCATTGAAGCCATTACGCTGTTGTTTGCGAAATGAGTAAACTTGTGAATTGCCATGTTTGAAAATTCTGCAAAGATCTATTTTTAAACTTACGCGTGATTTGATCTGTCAATCAAATCCTACTTTTGAATGGTTTCCTTTCTGATTTTGTTGAGATCACTTCGTGTGTATATACTAAAACAATTATTCTTCTCAATCTCGGTGAATAGTGGCTTTGGGAATATTTACCTCGCCGCTTTCGCGGCTCGGTAAATATTTTGCCACTATTCACCTCGATTTCAAAGAATAATTGTTAATTGCAAGGAATCATTGGGGTGTTCGAACTGTTTCCGGACCGATGGCAGTGGTCGTGGCTTCACTGGCATGGCTTGCAAGATTTTTGATAGAAACAAAATGGTCCCGTGTAAAAATAGCCTTATAGAGAGTGTGAAAATTTGTTGAGATCATACAAAACAGGGTCGGTACTACCTATTAGCTTCTACAGGACTAGAATCAAAGAACCAGTCGTCATAACAAGGGTAAAAAGTAGCTCAAATTTATTAATTTTTCTTGTTTGTTTTTTGGTGTTGTTTCGTGTTGACTTCACGCATCTGGTGCTTTCCTTGCTTGCTGTAGTACCTGCAATGTTTTAATTTGATCCCAGATTCAGTGTATGTTCAATGACTAGCGAAATACATCATTTACACTTGAAATTTGCCTTCTTTCTTTGATTGTTTTTTAACGGTGGATGAACATTTGGAGAATCCAGCAACATTAAATCTTTCCAGATTTGGTGAATTTCAGAAACAAAGCCGTTAGTATCTACCTTGCGCTTATGAGAGGTCTTATGATCTTCAATTTCGGCAAAGTGAGGCGAGATGTTGGACGTAAATATCCATAAGACTAATAAAGTTGTTTTGGCCCTGAAAAGAAAAAAGGCAAAGGCTCGTACTAATGCGAAAAAAAGTAATAACACGGCTCTGTGAGAAACCCGGGAATGGAAAACGTACGTGATTTGGACCTCGGAATTCAAAACTGGTCTACCAAAATTCTAGCTTGTCTACCATCCCCACATTCAACATGATAAAAGTTAATCGATATGACATTCAAGGACAAATATCTAGAACTTCGTAAAAAAAAAATATGTGAATCGAAAAAATAATAGATACTTGTTCACCTACCTTGAAAACCGACCAAAATCTCGCCCATACATCGCGTTGTTTAAAAGAAGAAATAAGCCACAAAATGTGCTGAATATTTCACGAGACACTTCCAATATGGCTTCCGATACGCTGTCCACTTAAAAAAATTGTGTATGCCTCATGAAAAGTCTTAAAAATATGCCTGAGAGCCTCGAAACGATGACTGATTTTGTCCGACTCCGTCCGCTGTTTTGAAAATATTTGATCACAGCAGCCATGTTTGATAATGTTTTGATTTGTTTGTTGATAAACACAAGCGCGCCTTCTCATTGGTTGAAAAGTGTCGCATGACCAGTTGGCCCTGTCCTTAAATTTAGGGATATTCCGGACTGTAAGTGGTAGTTACTAGTAGTTCCTAGTAGTTATCGGTAGTTACTAGTAGTTATTGGTAGTTACTAGTAGTTACTGGTAGTTAGTTACTAGCAGTTGTCGGTAGTTACTAGTGGTTACTAGTAGTTGGTGGTAGTTATTGGTAGTTAATAGTAGTTACTAGTAGTTGGTGGTAGTTGCTATTAGTTACTATTAGTTACTAGTAGTTCCTGGTAGTTGCTAGTAGTTGTCGGTAGTTACTAGTAGTTACTGGTAGTAACTAGTAGTTGTCGGTAGTTACTAGTAGTTACTAGTAGTTGATGGTAGTTATTGGTATTTACTTGTAGTTACTGGTAGTTACTGGTAGTTACTAGTAATTGTCGGTAGTTACTAGTGGTTACTAGTAGTTCCTAGTATTTATCGGTAGTTACTAGTATTTACTGGTAGTTATTGGTAGTTACTAGTAGTTTTCGGCAGTTACTAGTAGTTACTGGTAGTTGGTGGTAGTTATTGGTAGTTACTAGTAGTTAGTGGTAGTTACTAGTGTTGTGTTATTGAACTTTGACCTTTCATGTGTCACGCGCGTGTGTTGTTTAGTATTTAGGCATGCGCACTACAGGAATAGAGGAGAGGAATTAAACATGGCAGTTTTATGAACACATGCACGCTGTTGTCTCTTGAATGACTCGACATGGTGTCAGAAGCAGGATGAATTTCGCTTAACACGTCGTGGTGAAAAAGAAGAAAATTCGTACAAACGCTCAACAATTCATTCAACGTGCAAAACGGCGAGAACATGTCAGATAACGAAGCCGAACAAGAAGGAAATCCTCCCGGCGCATTGGCGGGCGCCGAAGAACAACCTGTGATTGCTCAACCGCAAGTTGTCCTGCCAAACATTCGGCCGGTCGCTAATTTTCAAGTAACCCCACCGGAGAAATTTTCATTCAAGCCGGAAGACTGGCCAAAGTGGATTCAAAGGTTTGAGAGATTTCGCAAGGCTACTGGGCTTGGTAAACAAACCGGCGAAAATCAAGTAAACACATTAATTTACACAATGGGTGAACAAGCGGACGATATCTCCATCTCATTCGAATTCACCGCCGAACAAGAGAAGAATTATGAAGAAGTGAAAGAACAATTCGAAAATTACTTCATCGTGAAAAGAAATATCATCTTTGAGCGAGCAAAATTCAACTCAAGAAGTCAACGAGCGGGAGAATCGGTGGATAATTTTATCACAGAACTGTATGGCCTGCCAAGGTACTGCAATTTTGGCGCGCTAAAAGAAGAGCTCATTCGCGACCGTATTGTCGTGGGATTACAAAACCGCGAACTTTCGGAAAAACTTCAACTAGATCCGAATCTCACCCTGGAAAAAGCTACAAATTTAGCGAGACAAAGAGAGACGGTGAAACAACAACAAAACATTCTTAACGGCGGATTCAAGTCTACTCCAGCGCACGTTGATGGCATCGCGAAAGGAAAATCGCGGAGAAACAAAGAAAACTTCAAAGAGAAGTCGCAAGACAAGTCTAAAGAGAAACCTTCCGATAGCTCCAAAGAGAAAAATCCTGATCAAAAGTGTTAAAGGTGCCTTGGAAAATTGCACCTGAAGAAAACGTGTCCTGCACGCTTCTCCAAGGGTAACAAGTGTTCAAAAATCGGTCATTGGGCGCAGGCTTGTAAAAGTTAAAAACCAGGAAAAGTATTTGAAGTTGCTGAAGAGGAAGAATCGTTCTTTCTAGGAGAAATCGTGGACGTTAGTGAAGTCCAAAGCAACCCCACAAAGTCACCATGGATTGCAACCGTTCTTGTGGACGAGAAACCAGTTAACTTCAAGCTTGATAGTGGTGCAGATGTAACTGTCATCCCATACAATACCTTCCTTAACAGTGATCTGAAGATACAGCTTAAGCCTACTGATAAAGTGCTCCTGGGTCCATGCAATTACAGGATGAACTGTAACGGAGAATTCACAGTCACTCTCGCTTACAGCCAAACTTCCACAAAGGAAACCATATATGTCGTAGAAAGTTTAGCAAGACCACTTCTGAGTAGATCTGCTGCAGTGAAACTAAACCTTATATCAAGATTGTGTGAACTGACAACTGCTGACTACAAGACAAAAGTGATGCATGACTACCCACAGTTGTTTGAAGGACTGGGTACCATGAAAGATAAGTACACCATCAAGCTAAAAGATGATGCAAAGCCCTTTGCACTGACTGTGCCAAGAAAGGTGCCTATGCCACCGTATGAAGAAACCAAGCACGAAATTGAAAGGATGTGGAGTGATTTCGCCTGTGGACCACCCAACTGATTGGTGTTCTCCAATGGTAGTAACCTTTAAGCCAAATGGTAAAGTCAGAGTGTGTGTAGACTTAACAAAGCTCAATGAGTATGTTCAGCGTGAGAATCGCCCTCTTCCCTCCGTGGACCTCACCTTGGGAAAGCTAGCAGGTGCAAAGTACTTCACCAAGCTCGATGCAAGTTCTGGATTCTGGCAAATAAAGCTGGCCGAAAGCTCGAGACCACTCACAACCTTCATCACACCTTGGGGACGGTACTGTTTTAACGTGCTGCCTTATGGAATTAGCTCTGGTTCACAAAAGTTTGAAAAGTGCATGAGTAGAATTCTTGAAGGACTTGAAGGAGTTGAATGCAACATTGATGATGTCCTAGTTCATGCCCCCACCATAGAGCTACATGATTACAGATTAAAGAAAGTGTTAGAGCGTCTAAGTGAGGCTGGTGTTACGCTTAACATTGACAAGTGCACGTTCCGAGTTCCCAAGATCAAGGTCCTAGGCAATGTTGTTAGCGCAAATGGTACTGAAGTGGATCCAGACAAAGTTGCAGCCGTAGTAAACCTACCTGCACCCAAGAATGTTCATGAAGTCCGTGTGTTTCTACGAAAGGTAAACCACCTAAGCAAGTTTGCAGAACATTTAGCAGACAAGACCAACCCAATCCGAGGCCTTATGCAGAAGGATAGCTAGTGGGTCTGGGGAACACCCCAACAACAAGCATTCAAAGACATCAAGTCTATCTTGACAGCTGCACCAGTACTTGCTGTCTATGATCCTAACAAAGACAGCGGATGCATCTTCATTTGGACTGGGAGAAGTACTCCCACAGAAGCAAGAAGATCAGACTTGGAGACCTGTGATGTTCATATCCAGAGCACTCACCCCGGTGGAATGCAAATATGCGCAAATAGAGAAAGAGGCCTTAGCCCTAACCTGGGCATGTGGGCGATTCAGCGACTACATAGTGGGAAAGTCTATACTTGCTGAAACAGATCAGAAGCCATTGGTTCCTCTTCTCACCACCCGTACCTTGGATGAAGTCCCTCCTAGAGTTCAGCGGCTCAGAATGCGCCTCATGCGTTTTCACTTTAAAGCGGTAAACCATGTACCTGGAAAAGAAATGTATATAGCAGATGCGTTGTGAAGAATGCAGTCCTGAAAAGACAAACAGAATGGCCACTGTTCCTGAAGAAGAAATGAACATCTATGTTGACAGTGTCCTAGACTCTTTACGTGAAACTAATGGAAATTAAGGAAGCCCAGGATGAGGACCCTGTCTGTCGACAAATAAAGAGTTACTGCCTGGAAGGCTGGCCAGACAACTTTCGTCTTAATGATGCACTGAAGCCTTATTGGTCAGCCAGAGGAGAGCTCAGTACATGGGATACTCCTGAAGTCAACTAGAGTTGTCGTGCCGTCAGCCATGAAGCTTCAAGTTTTGGATAAGATACACGAAGGGCTCCAGGGAATAGTCAAGTGCAGAGAACGCGCAAAGACCTCTGTTTGGTGGCCTGGTCTCAGCCGTGAAGTTCAAGACATGGTTGAAAATTGCAAAGTTTGTGCCAAGCACCGACAGCAGCGAGCTGAGCCACTCATGCCAACACTCTTTCCTGAACGTCCCTGGCGGATGATCGGCACGTATGGTCGGCCATTTGTTTCAAAATTATGACACGATATACGTGCGGTTTTTTCCCACGTATACTTGCAATCATTCCTGCTACACGATATACGTGCTTTTTTTTTGTCACGTGTACTTGCGTTTTATTCCCAAGTATATGACCATTTTCTTACAAACGAGCATATATATGCGCACACAAAAGCCCATATATATGCGTTACAAACAAGCATGTGGTATATGGGGTTACAGAAAGTTGTCATATAAGAGGCACTGAATTATACCGTCAGCAAAAAACCCCTTCATGTACGATGGAGCTGAAAAGTAACTTCAGTTTGAATCAAGCATGGCCGCAATGGCCGCGTTAATTTCGAGCAAGATTTGGTTCTTATTCATTGCCCTCACAGTAGTGGTGGTTGTTGGCTCCCCGACAACGGATTTGTTGGAATCCGTGGATTGTTTCTTGAGTGACTGTGTACGCTATTTCACAAATGCTGACCGAAACAACGATCGATTCAGTTAGAAACTAGCGTCCGACAGGCAAAACACGACTCATAAGCTCTTGATAATGTGAAACATGACCTTGAGGGTCTGCTTGAACAGATTGGTTTTTCTTCTTTTCTCTCTCGCGCGCGAATTATCACCTTTTCGCCTCCACGAACACGTTCTAAGCCTCCTAGTCTCGAAGCTTTTTATCATTTCCCTGGTATTCTCACTGACTTTAATAGCCTTCCACCTGCCTCTCTTTCCTTAGTGCTCCTCCACTTTAATTGTGATTTTCATGGTTATCTAACTCGTTCTCGCTCAACTTGCATAAAATGTCCCTTAGGTATCAATTTGCTATTAGTTCTCAAGCCCCGATTATTTGGAAGGATCTGGAAGGATAGTTTATTAATAACTTCAGTTTGGCGTTTTTTTGAAGCCAGCTCTATCTGATAGTGGTGGACTATTTCTCACGCTATATCTCGGTGGCTGCCATGCAAAAGACCACCAAATCGCATGAAGTTATCAGAGCCGTCAAAGCAATTTTTGCAAGGCATGGAATCCCTGAAGAAGTAAGAAGTGACCATGGCCCACAGTATGCATTAGCCGAATTCACTCATTTTGCAAAAGAATGGGGTTTCAAGCATACAACAAGTAGCCCCCGTTTCCCACAGCTGAAGCAGAGCGCGCAGTAGAAACCACCAAGTCATTGCTGAAGAAAGAAAAACATCCATCCAAAGGACCGTTGGCGTACAGGTCTACCCCTCTTGCTTGTGGATATTCACCATCTGAACTACTCATGGGAAGAAAACTGAGAAACACCATCCCAACCTTCCACACTGTTCTCAATCCAAGTTGGCCAGATATGGACAACCTACGTGAAAGGGAAGAAGGAAGCAAGGAAAATCAAAGGCTAAACTTCAATCAACGGCACAATGCCATTCCCTTGAAATCAGTCCAACCTGGTACTCCTGTGCACATCAAAGATATGGGAACCACTGGTACAATAGCTGAAGCAGCAGAAGCACCTAGATCCCACTTGGTCGAGACAGAGAATGGAACAGTGAGACGAAACCGTTCCCATGTCAACCCAATCCCCACCAACAAACCAACGTTGCCCAGTGTCTTGGACAAGCCAGTTTCACCTAGTGTTGTGAAGAAACAAGCCCGAGACAAGGCATTGACTCCCTTGAAGCAACTCCCATCGCCTTGTCTCGCTTCTAGACAAGAGAGACTCATTAGACCCTCTCTCAAGTTACAAGAGAGCCTTGGACTTTGTTGAACATTGAACTTTAGTTAAAAGACACTTTGAAACTTGTGCTTGAACTTTGTTCTTATTTAATTTCGCGGACAGTTTTCACATATGGTAGATTTTAGTTCCATACCCGAGTTGTATGTTACTTTGCAATCTCTCAAAAAGGGAAGACGTTGTGTTATTGAACTTTGACCTTTCATGTGTCACGCGCATGTGTTGTGTAGTATTTAGGCATGCGCACTACAGGAATAGGGGAGAGGAATTAAACATGGCAGTTTTATGAACACATGCACGCTGTTGTCTCTTGAATGACTCGACAACTAGTTGTTGCTGGTAGTTACTAATAGTTTCTAGTAGTTACTGGTAGTTACTAGTAGTTGTCGGTAGTTACTAGTGGTTAATAGTAGTTGGTGGTAGTTATTGCTAGTTATTAGTAGTTACTGGTAGTTACTAGTAGTTGCTGGTAGTTACTAGTAGTTGGTGGTAGTTACTGGTAGTTTTCGGTAGTTGCTAGTAGTTATTGGTAATTACTAGTAGTTACTGGTAGTTACTAGTAGTTGTCGGTAGTTACTAGTGGTTACTAGTAGTTGGTGGTAGTTATCGGTAGTTACTAGTAGTTACTGGTATTTACTAGTAGTTTTCGGTATTTACTAGTAGTTACTAGTAGTTAATAGTAGTTCTTGGTATTTACTAGTAGTTAGTGGTATTTATTAGTAGTTACTGGTTGTTACTAGTACTTGCTGGTAGTTACTAGTAGTTCTTAGCAGTTATCGGTAGTTACTACTAGTTGTCGGTAGTTATTAGTAGTTACTGGTAGTTAGTAGTAGTTCTCGGTAGTTACTAGTAGTTGTCGGTAGTTACTATTAGTTACCAGTACTTACTGGTAGTTACTAGTAGTTGTCAGTAGATACTACTAGTTGCTGGTAGTTACTGGTAGTTGTCGATGGTTACTAGTAGTTACTGCTAGTTAGTAGTAGTTGTCGGTAGTTGCTTGTAGTTATCGGTAGTTACTAGTAGTTACTGGTAGTTACTAGTAGTTGTCGGTAGTTACAAGTAGTTGCTAGTAGTTAATGGTAGTTCTTGGTATTTACTAGTAGTTAGTGGTAGTTATTAGTAGTTACTGGTAGTTACTAGTAGTTATTGGTAGTTACTAGTGGTTACTAGTAGTTGATGGTAAGTTATTGGTAGTTACTAGTAGTTGCTGGTAGTTACTAGTAGTTGGTTACTAGTAGTTACTAGTGGTTACTAGTTCTGGGTATTTAGTTACTTAGTAGTAGTTACAGTAGTTACTAGTAGTTCTGGTAGTTTCTAGTAGTTGGTTGTAGTAGTTGGTGGTAGTTATTGGTATTTACTAGTAGTTACTGGTAGTTACTAGTAGTTACTGGTAGTTACTAGTAGTTACTAGTATTTACTAGTAGTTACTAGTAGTTGTCGGTAGTTACTAGTAGTTACTAGTGGTTAATGGTAGTTCTGGGTATTTACTAGTAGTTACTGGTAGTTACTAGTAGTTATCAGTAGTTACTAGTAGTTACTGGTAGTTTCTAGTAGTTGTCAGTAGTTAGTAGTAGTTGGTGGTAGTTATTGGTATTTACTAGTAGTTACTGGTAGTTACTAGTAGTTGCTGGTAGTTACTAGTAGTTACTGGTAGTTATTAGTAGTTGTCGGTAGTTACTAGTAGTTGGTGGTAGTTATTGGTATTTACTAGTAGTTACTGGTAGTTACTAGTAGTTGCTAGTAGTTACTAGTAGTTGCCGGTAATTACTGATTGGAGTCGACTGTTTTCATTCTCTTGGACTATTTCTATTGACGCTGTTGAAGTGAAAGTCTAGAAATATAACAGAGCACTTAATGTCAGGTCCAGTTTGGAAAAACAGTTAGTTATATTTTTCGTCAAGTAATGATGTTTCCCTTTTTGATTTCGTTTCGGGAAACATCAGGACTCTCTGCGTTCTCAATTCCTTTCCTTTAGGTTCCACCAATGTGGTATTAAACCAACGTTTACACATAGCAATCACTTTAAGTAGCATTTATTTGTGAAAGTTTATCTTAAACTTAATATGCGTTTACACAGAATGACATGTTGGTTCATATATTCCATTTAAAGTGACATGTATTTCAGTCTCAATGTCGTAACTCTTTTCCTTTAATTTTATTTCTACTAATTTATAAAAGCATCACTTAATGATGTCGCTGACATAGTCATTATCACATCGAAAACGTTGTAAACAATAATATTCTCTAATGTGTTTGAAGTAAATATCCATTTTCTAATTGTGGAAGTCCTCTGTAAAACCAATGTTACACTAAAGGTTCTCTTTCCATAATTTGATACAAACGGTTTTAATTATCTAATTATATGGCGGCTGCGTAGGTGGATTTTTCAAAAATCAAATTTTTGGATCTTGTTTCAGCAGTTTTTAAAATTACTTTCTGAATATAAAGTGATTTTCATTTCTTCATATTGTTTCTAAGGTGTGATCATAATGACGTGTTAAGATTTGTGAAGAGTGGTAACCGTCGATTAAGATTACTAATAAGCGGTACCTTGCACTTTCTGTCGGTGTAAAATTTGCACTTGTCAGTACTGTGCCAAGTGGCTTACTGGCACCTCTTTTCATCACGCTCGTGTTTTTTGCCCCTCAGAAGAGGTCAATTAATGAGCAGCTCGCTTATGTTTTTCACTGACTGGGGGTCGTCTAAGCCAATAGGAACTGTCTGCCTTGCCAAAATTGATACGAAGCTTTCTTTGGTCCCCCTTGAGTAGAAATTATTCTTTTGGCCTCCAAAAAGTGAAAGTTCTGAAAGAAGAGCAGTGGTTTTGCCTTTGCTGCTTGGACCATGGGCCACTGTCACAGGACAGTTCAAGTTTGTTTCGAGAATCGTACGGTAATGAAACGACATCGCACTTGCTCCCAGCAAGAACAAAGAGCTGATTAAGCCTTATGAATCCAGATATTCCCGTTGGGCTGTTCTCCCAGCACTGTCATTTAAATGTATTTCTACCTATCATCGGTATAATACCACTGAAAACGCATTTCAGTCTAAAATAAATTTCGTGTTAATCTGTAGCTTTTACATTAAACTAAAGCCCCATTCACACCAAAGCTTAAAGATATTTAAAAACGTGTTTAATTAAACACAGTTTCAATTTTCTTTCTTTCATAAAAGCTGCTAACTAACTTAAATGGATTGCAGATTTAGTGCAAATTACAAAACATGTTGAATTTCCTTTGGGAATCCTTTGTGAAACACAGTTTTGCAGGTCGGCTTTTAGTTTTTCTAAAACTTGGTTTAATAAAACATGTCTAGTTAGCGTGGATGAGGCATAAGTAAGTCCTGATTTTATGATAGCTATACAATAATGAAGGTTCGGTCAGTTGATCTTTAAAAATAGATAACATTTTTGTTTTGTTTCAGCTGACGTCTAGGCGATGTTATGAAACGATATTTTTAACATCTGAATATTAAATTTGCACACGTCAGAAAGTAAAAATTATAACTTAAGTATAACTAATCAAATCTTGACATGATCACACTTTAGAAACCAAGAAATAAAGATCACTTTATATTCAGAAGGAGGTGGTAATCTAAAATATTGCAGCTACGATCGCAAATAAAAAATACAAAAAAACAAAAAAAAGGTTAGCAAAGATCCATCTACGCAGCCGTAATACAATTAGATAATTAAAAACCGTTTGCATCCAATTATAGAAAGAGAACCTTTAGTGTAACATTGGTTTTACAAAGGACTACTACAACAAGGAAATGGATATTTACTTCAAACACATACTGAAAAACTATTACTGTTTGCAAGGTTTTCAATGTGATAATGACTATGTCAGCGACATCATTAAGTGATGTTTTTATAAATTAGTAGAAATAAAATAAAAGGAAAAGAGTTGACATTGAGACTGAAATACATGTCACTTTAAATGGAATATATGAACCAACATGTCATTCTGTGTAAACGCATATTATGTTTAAGATAAACTTTCACAAATAAAGTCTACTTAAAGTGATTGCTTTGTGTGAACGTTGGTTTAATACCACATTGGTGGAACCTAAAGGAAAGGAATTGAGAACGCCGAGAGTCCTGATGTTTGCCGAGAAGAAGTCAATAAGGGAAACATCATTACTCGAAGAAAAATATAACTAACTGTTTTTCCGAGGGGGACCTGACATTAAGTGTTCTGTTATATTTCTAGACTTTCACTTCAACAGCGTCAATAGAAATAGTAGAGGCAAATGAAAACAGTCGACTCGAATCAGTAATTACCGGCAACTACTAGTAACTACCAGTGACTACTAGTAAATACCAATAACTACCACCAACTACTAGTAACTACCGACAACTACTAGTAACTACCAGTAACTTCTAGTAACTACCGATAACTACAAGCTACTACCGACAACTACTAATAACTACCAGTAACTACTAGTAACTACTGATAACTACTAGTAACTACCGACAACTACTGGTAACTACCAGTTAATACTTGTAAGTACTAGTAACTACCGACATCTACCAGTAACTACCAGCAACTACTAGTAACTACCAGTAACTACTAGTAACTACTAGTAACTACCAGTGACTACAAGTAACTACCGATAAGTACTAGGAACTACTAGTAACTACCTGCAAC